AGCAGGGCTCTTCTGAGGTTCTTCTGTTCATGGGCCTGGCGTCCTGGCCCCTGTCTTAACTCTGCCTTTCTCTGCCTCCCCTCGCAGGCCATGAAGCTGCAGCTGGTGACGGCCCTGGGGGCGCTGGCGGGCACGGTCTGCTCGCTGCTGGCCGAGGGGGTGGGGGAGGCGGCCACGGCCTGGATCCTGCCCTTCACGGCCGGGGGCTTCATCTACGTGGCCACCGTCTCGGTGATCCCGGAGCTGCTGCAGGAGTCTGGGCCCGTCCAGTCCCTGCTGCAGGTGCTGGGGCTGGTGGCCGGCGTGGCCATGATGGTCTTCATCGCGCAGTATGAGTAGCTGGGGCCGCGGCGGAGGGCGGGCGTCCGCCGCTGGAGAGAAGAGGCCGAGAGCGCACTCCTTCTCAGGACGGAGCCCGAGAGATGGGGCTCCCCCCCGCCTTTGCTTTAGCCTGCTACGAAGCGGAGAGTAAAATCCACCCGTCCCCCCTCGGCCACATCTCGTCCCATATCCCATCCGGTTGCGTCGCCGGCCCTGCTGTGCACCTTCCCTCCTCCAGGGGGTGCTGTGGGGAGCGAAGAAGGCCGGTCTGGTCCTCCAAAGAGTCGACTCTTCTGCCCCAGGTGGATGCAGCGATGGGGGTGGGGGGAGAGCGGGTGGCCCTTCCTGTGGGGCAGGGGAGGAATATTGGGAGAGGGGGTGGAGAGGAGGGAAAGGAAATCGCCGTCCCAGGATTCATTGGTGTCCCACCTCTGAGTCATGGGGCTCTGTGTCTCTTGGGGGGGAGCATATCCCTCAGGCTCTCTGTTATTTGGGGAGAGGAGAGACAGATGTACAAAGGACCAAAACAAGAGAAGAAATATACTGGCGGGGTGTGTGTGCGCGCGCTTGGAAATCATGTTTCCAGTTTTTGTGGGGGTCACTAGAAGATTTTGGGGGGGGGGTTCCATGTGGACTTAGTTGCTGGTGTTGAACTGTGTTTCAGGGGGGGGGCTGTTAGAATCTTTGACAGAGACCCACCCACACACATAGCTTGTCCACTCCACGGTGTCTAAAGGGTGGTGGCTTGGTGGGGCTGTCTCTCTGCACCCCCCGAGAAAAGAGGGGCCAGAAATTATGGTTTTGCAGGACTTGGGGGGGGGCAGCTGCATGTGTCTTTTCTTCCTCCTCCTGCTGCTGCTGTCAAATGTCATTCCGTGTGACACCTCCCCCCCCCCCACCTCTAATGGAGCAGGCCAGTGTCCACTGTGAACGGTGGGCAGGAATCGGGACCCCTGCTCCCGGGAGGGGTGGTGGTGTTTCTGTGTACACTTCTTTTATATCTTGGCGTTTTGCATTTTTGTAGGGCTGGGGGTGGGGGATATTGCTTAGGGCAGCGATCGTAGCTGGGGGAGGCACCTAGGAAGGAGGAGGCTGGTGTCTGTAAATTAAAAAGAACGAGACTTTCCAAGGTTGCCGTGTCGTGTCAGTTATTCCCCGTGCTGGGCACCGGGGGGCGCCAGCCGCCAGCCAGGGGACCCAGGGGTCCTGGCAGCCTCCCCCTCCTGGATGCGTCCTCGGGTAACTCCGGGTTTCCTTCCCTGACCCGTGTCTGTGTGTGTCCCCACGTGCATTAGAATCATAGAATGTTAGAGTTGGAAGGGGCCTTGCCGGTCATCTAGTCCAACCCCCTGCACTCTGCAGGAGCATAACCGAAAGAGAGCCCTACATACCTACAACATACCCGAAAGATGGTCTAGCCTCTGCTTGAAAACGTCCAGCGAAGGAGCACCCACCACCTCCCAAGGCAGACGGTTCCACTGCTCAAGCACTCTTACAGTTAGGAAGTTTCTCCTGATATTTAACGACTCCCTTGTAATTTCTACCCATTCGATCTAGTCTTGCAATCCGGAGCAAGAGAGAACAGATCAGTGATGGCGAACCTTTTAGAGGCCCAAACTGCGACCCAAAACCCACTTATTGATCGCAAAGTGCCAACACGGCGATTTAACCTGAATACTGAGGTTTTACTTTAGAAAAAACAACTCCTACATTAACTTAAGATGATCCAAACAAAGTAAGGAAAGCAATCCCAAATGCTTACATTTACTTAAAATTATTTGGCAGAGAATTTGACACTTTATTGACGGTCTGGGCCTGGCAGGGGCCATGGCACGCATGCCCACAGAGAGGGCTCTGAGTGCCACCTCTGGCACCCGTGCCACAGGTTCACCACCACTGGAATCGATCATTAGATCAGGTCCCCCCCACCTGCAGCCTGCGATGGTGATTTCGGAAATGGGGGTGGTGGTTGAATAGCTGCAATGAAGTGGGGGGGGGGAGGATGACTCGGTGTCCCCAGCGGACTGCATTCAAGAGGGGCAGCTTTGCACTTTGCCTCTGGCTGAGGAAGGGGTGGGGGGAGATGTTGCTGGGGTGGGTCTCCCCGGAAAACACGGATGTCCAGGAACGATGTGGGGAGGGGGGGCAACGCTTGCTCTGAGCTGTGGAGTCTTGTGAGCAAGAATCCTACTTTGTGAGCCACCGGCATTAAAGGAGTGAGCCAGCGATTCGGCCGCTGCATAAAAGGAGTTTGCCCTGGAGCCCTCTTGCCTGAGCAAAAACGAAAAGTGTGAGGTAAAGGTTCCCTTGCTCAAAACCCAGTCGAATCCGACTCTAGGGTTGCGGTGCTCATCTCCGTTTCCAAGCCAAAGAGCCAGCGCTGTCCGAAGACGTCTCCATGGTCATGTGGCCGGCTTGACTAAACACCAAGGCACACGGAACGCTGTGACCTTCCCACCGAAGCGGTACCTATTTATCTACTTGCAGTTTCTTGCTTTCGAACTGCTAGGTTGGCTGGAGCTGGAACTAGAGACGGGAGCTCACTCCATCATGTGGCACACTCGGGTCTCGAACTGCTATGCTGAACCACTGACCTTCCACAGCCTGCAGTTCAGTGTCCTAACCACTTGAGCCACGGCAGCTCCATTAAGGGTGTGAACTGGAGGCTAAAAGACTGAGCTGGCTCACACAAACTCAGCTTAGGGGGAGCACCGGTGCGGGGCGTTAGCGGAGGAGACTGACAGGCAGCTGGATGTGGGGGAGGGCAGGGGCCCCCCACCCACCCCGCCTGATTCCATGAACGTCTCCTGAATCGGGACCTTTCCCGGGCAGTCCAAGAGCCCCCCGATTCTTTAGTTGTACATTTCCCGGGCTGCATGGCCGTGGTCTTCGCCCCGGTTCCTCCCGGCCCACTTAGACGGCGCGGGATCGGCCCGTGTTCCGCGGAACAGCCGCCTGGGCAGGCGGAAACCCAACCGGTGCATCCAGCAGCCTCCAGCCTTGGCCTATGAAACACGGGGGGAGGGGGAGACGCGCAGGTTGATCCGAAAAAAAAGGGGGGGGGGACCAGGCAATGCGCCCTCTAAGCTGTGGTCTCGTGAGCAAAAATCCTACTTGGTGAGCCGCTGGCGCTAAAGTGTTGAGCAAACCCTTTGGCTACGAAATAAATCCGCTCGCTCTGGAGCCCTCCCTTCCTGAGCCGAGACAAAAACGCGCGAGCTGGAGGCTCAAAAAACGGTGAGCCGGCGCACGCTGACTCAGCTGAGAGGGAACGCGGGACCCAGGCCCCTCCCTCGGAGGACTTGGGCCACCGAGAGGGCTGCCTAGGAGGGCCGGCCCCGTCCTCCCTGGTCCCACCCTGCGGGGAGGGGCTTTGCCGTGTCCGGGTGCAACCCCAAGGAATGGCCGCCTCTCTCCGCCTGCGGGGGGCCCTGGCGCTGGTCACAGGTGCATGCATGGCCGCGGGGG